TCACACCATACACAAAAATTAATTCGCAATGGCTCATAGTCTGAAAGTATAAAAGTTCTAGAATAAAACAGGAGAAAATCCTTTGTGACCATGGGTTAAGCAGAGAAAAAAATACTAAAAGCATGATCCATAAAGAAAAATACCGATAAACTGGATTTCATTAAAATTAAAAACATTTTCTCCTCAAAAGACACCATTAAGAAACTGAAAATACAAGTCACAGACAGAAAATATTTGGCAATCATTTGTCTTATAGAGGACTTGTATCCAAAAACAACCCAATTTTAAGTGAGCAGAAGATTTGAATAGACATTTCCCTAAAGAAAATACACAAATGGCCCGTAAGTACACGGGAGGATGGTCGAGATAATTAGCTATTAGAGAAACACAAATTAAAGCCACACTGAGATACCACTTTGCACTCACTAGAATGACTGTAACAAGAAAATACAAAATGACAAGTATTGACGAGGATATGGAGAAATCCGAGCCCTCATATATTATAGGTGGGGACGTAAAATGGTGCATTTTGGAAAACAGTCTGAAGTTTCTCAAAGTTAAACATAAACTTACCATAAGAGCCAGCAACAGAACTCCAGACATATACATGGGAGATGGGAACATGTACACCCAAAGACTTGAACACAGTGGGCCTGCGGCACGGAACAGTCCAAGTGCCTATGAATGTGTACACCCACCGTGATATAGCACACTGTGGGCTAGGACTCCGCAAAGGAAGTAGATACACGCTATGACACAGACACACCTCAAAAACATTATGCTGTGAAAGAAAGATGCAAAAATAAACCACATATTGTCTGACTCCATTTGTATGAAATGTCCAGAAAAGGCAAATCGGAGAGAGACAGTGGATTGACTGGTGGTTTGCCTGAGGCTGGGGGCAGGAAGGGAACAGACTGCAAATGGGCGGATATCTTCCTGAGGTCGTGGAAATGTTTTAAAATTGGTTTGTTACACAACTGTAAATCAGCTAAAAAAAAATCGAAGACATGCACACGTAAATGGGTGAGCTGTTATGGTGGTTACATTACGCGTCTTTAAAACTTTCTTTCTTTTTAGCGTGGGGGAAGGACAGGCTATAGATTCAGACCAAGTCCTGCGGTACCTACCACTGTGTCATTAAGTTACTTCGACGATCTGGGCCTGTTTTCTCATCTGTTAACCAGGAATCATAGTACTACATACGCCACTGGGTTGTTAGGGTCATTAAATGAGTTAGTACTGGTAAAATGCTTAAGCACATAGTAAGTATTCAGGAATTATTAGCTACTTTTCTTCTTATTATAATGACATTCAAGCAATTATCAAGCCTTGCCCATTTTGTGTAGTAATTAGTTCTTAAGTTAATCACCTTTTCTTAGGAATTTCTTTTCTGGTCTTATGCTCTTTACATCCTTTAAACACTTTCTTCAGTCTTCCTTACTTCCTCCAGGCTTGTTCCCTCACATCTAGCCCCCCACAGCTTCTAGAGATCACACAAGCTATTAAACATAACCATGGGAAAGTCGCCCACAGGAGGGCCAAGTTCAACGGCAGGCAAGGCCCTCCAAATCCGGTCTCTGAGGAACCGACGCCCGCACATCGAAGTCGCAAACTTTCCCCCTTTGCAGTTGCTCGTGCCATCCCCATGGAGCAATGCCCCTTCCCCTCCCTATTTTCCGTCCATGCAAGACCCTCTGGGCTCAGCTGAGGGAACTCCCCCACGCGCCCCGACCCCTCGCGCTGTGGCCTTCTGCGCCTGGCTCGCGTGCTGTGCAGGTCTCCAGCGCGGAGCGGAGATGGGGTATGACAGGCTCTGATGCTGAGGCGTGAGTCTAGCGCTGTCCCTGGGACTAGTCCCTGGAGGGGCAACGAAGTGTCTGCTGGGCACGCAGGCCTCCAAACGTAGGCCTGTTTCCACCTTGCATGTCACTTGAGGAAAATGGCACAGGTTGTCAGGTCGTCTAGGGAAATGAAATCTGGACAAGGCTCTCACTGCCATGCACAATGACTAAGCACTAGTGAGGGACGGCATTGAGGCCATTTATACCTTCCCTGCTGTCAGCGCATCAACACGTACACAGCTTGCTGGTCATGCTCATCTTTCCAGTGGAATTTTTCCTAACTTACCTGAAATCAGAATTTCTAAATGCAAACTGATCTGTTACGAATTTCTGAGACAGCCCATTGTGGGAATATAAGACAATCAACTTCTGAGGGACTTTTTGAAATAGCTTAATTGACCTGGTACCTAGGGCCCACCCCCGCCGTTCTGATTTAAGGGGCCTAAGGCAGGAACCAAGCAGAACATTTTAAGAAGTTGCCCAGGTAGTTCCAAAGAGCAGCAGGAATCGAGAGCCACTCCTATGAAATCTAAAATTTGTTCCTTTTCAGTGTTCTATAAAATGGTGACACTTCTCCTTAGATTTATGGTTAACTGAAAATCTTTCTGAAAGTGCAAATCATAAATAAATTTTTAAGTGGAATCCTTCTTCCTAATCGCAATACCTTGGGTCGGTGAACAAGTAAAGTTCGACTTATTAAAATCACCTTGTCAATCAATAAGCATTTATATCCATATCAGACGTGGACATTTATAACCCATTAAAGGACAGTTAAAACAAAGAAACATCTCAAAAGCATTATCTTAACCCACAACTAAGTGAATACCAAAGTGTGAGTGTAAAGATAGCAGAGAGTACTAACAGTTCCAGAAGATTAAGCGTCGATCCTCTGTGAATAAACCCCTATTTCTGGACATGGCATGATTTTCTCTAATCATGAAAATAAAAAGGATCTCAGCAAAGTACTGATGAAGTACTGCTTTTGTACCTGAATTATAATGGGCCCTGCGGGGAGGTCAGAGAAACTACAGACACACTACTGGAGTTTAAAGTTACACTGAGTACGACATAAAATTTAGTATTAGCATCTTCTTGGAATGAAAAATGTTAAATCATATCACAGTCTGTAAACATCCATTTTTCTTCTCCAGAAATGTCCCATAGACTAAATCTTAGTTTTTTCCAGAAGCACGCTTTGATGCTGAAGGGTATCAGGGCATGCTACCCTAAAATATGCTACTTGGGCCTAAGAAAGATTTTGAGCTGAAGGCATTTGAGTTCCTGAAATCCCTTATCTGCCTAAATGCAGAACCTTCCCAAAGAACTCAATAGTCACAAATCCCCTTCCCCGGGCAACTCTAATCTCTTGTGGCACCACACCCGGACTTGTCACAAACCGTCATATCTCCCATCTATTTCCAAAAGGCCTCTCCATTTTCCCAAAAAGTCATTTATTTTACCATAAGTGCCGTCCTCCCCATCCCTTCCCCACGAGGGAGGTATCTGGAGCCTACGTCTGCCCTCCCTTCGTTGCTCAGCCCTGGACCCTGCCATCTGAGTGCAGGATACACATGTCAGTAGCCCTGTTTCTTTTTCTCTTGTTCACCTGTCTTTTGTCAATCCAACTGACAGGCCCTGGCCAGAGCACCTAGAAAGGTTGACAGAAAAATATATGTTTTTCCTCCCCTACAATACTGTGATATCTGATTTTAGATAGATCTCCCAGGTTTAAAAAGCTGTCATTAAAAAAAAAAAAATCCTATAAAAAAATAAGCACCTGAAAGAGTAAAAGTTTTAAAAGCCTTTGAGACTCAAGGTCTAGTTTCTTTAACTTTTCAAACTAAATATTAAAAAAATAAAAACTATACCAAAGTGCTTAGTGTTTTGGGCAAAACTGCTATGAAGACTTAATAAACAAAATATTTCCACCAAGTACATGCAGTTACAGAGTAAAATCAGTTTCCACACCATAAAAATTCTTACCAAATATGTTTTTCCTAAATATATTTTAACTCACTTTACCAATATGATTTCGTCTTTTATCAGTATTTCATTATTTATCTTTATTAAAAGATAAATCTGAAAGCATGAAATTGTATGGTGGCAAAAGAACTTCAAATTAAACTTTCCTACTTAAAAACTAACACAGAGAGCTACACTTTATAATGGGGAAGACTAGAAATAATACCTTATTGATATTAATAATGGCAGATTAAATAAAATAAAGGAAAGGTGCTGGAGTCCTAAAGAGAGTACTGGGAGTTAATAGAGCACATGACACAGGACTTGATGCACGTGAGCCGCGCACACCGGGCAGCGCCCTCGTTAGGATGAGCTTCCAAGGGTCAGGGGTGCAGCGCATCTGCCAGATGGACAAGAGCACATAAAAGACACAAAACAAAATATATGTATTACTTTTAGCATGTTAAAAACAATCACATCAAAAAAATGATACAGATAAAAAATGTCATAGATGACATAAGAAAATAGTGTGTGTATACATATTTTGCATACATATATATATATAAATCTACAGTATTCACCACTGTTGATATATAGATTTTGGAGCAGCTCAGGTGCTGCTATCACGAACTAAATTTTACAGCTTGATTTATTACAAGTCATAGAATCATGGTTTAAAAATCATGAATTAATATCCTCAGCTACATTTTTATGTACACTTATTTCAAAGCTTCACATGATCTGAATCGAGGGCCCAGTGATGTGAGGATCTGGTGAGCTTCCGTGTAGTGCTTACCTAATACACTGCACTTGTTTTGCCGTTTAATAACATCATTACCAAGTTGATTAAAATTACATTAGACTCATTATATACATAAAAAATATTGTCACATTCGCTAGCTAAACAAATGTTACTTTCCATTTTAAAAGACACACTTCTGTACCTTGAAAGCTTAAAGCCACAACTTGCAACAAAAAGAGCCCTGAACCTTAGGTTCCTCTGTTGTGCAAATGTGAGCCAAGTCACGCCGAAAACAAGCTCTCCAATTAAACACAAAGTCATACGTTCTTGGCATGCTCCAAACTTTGTCAGTGTTTTGGTAACTGTAGTGTAAATAAAATATTTTAAAAGACATTGCTAATTTTTTAAAACATGGACCTGAACTTTTGTCCCTGAAAAAGATTTTTAAAATTACGAAAGTCACACTATTTTTTTAAAAAAAGACCAAAATCTTAGATTTCTATCAATAATTTAGATCTTTTTTGTTTGTTTTTTACAGTTTTATAGGCTGAAAATCTAATGGCCTGGGCGCAGCAGTAGCCATTGGCCACCTTCTCCAAGGAAGAGCGCCGGGAGGAGACCGTGGGGATGCGCACCCAGCCTGTGCAGCGAGGCCTGCAGGGAATGTGGGGCAGAAGGAAGAAGTAACCATATTGTTAGTCCTGCTTTCAAAGGCAAGTCCCGGGGTTTGTTCTGCTGCCCAGGAGTAAGGTGCCCCCTCTCCTGCTGGCACCCACAGGGGAGCTGCATTGTGCCACGGCACCGCCCTTGCATCTAGCTTTGCACGAGTCAGACCAGAGCAGGGCTGCATCTCTGGCCATAATCTTATTTTAACTGCCACAATGGTTAAGCATCATTAAGTGGTTAGCCTTTCTCTCCAATATCTTTAATTTTCAGACTGAGAGAAAATGGCAGCAAGTGAATGAGAAAAATGAGTATTCTGTGAGATCTGAATGAATCAACTCAAGGCAAACCCTTAAGTCAGTTTAGAATCTGGGTTAAAAATATGAGGGGCAAAAACCTGACTAAAAGACCAGTTAAAGAAAAGAAGAATAAATTATTTGATGGATCTAGAGTTAAAGCAGTTTTTTAAACGTTTCACTAGTTGTGTTCAAATATGTATGCATAGATGCCTACATCTATTCACAGACACACACACTACATATTGCCTTAAAAGTATCTACTCTCCAAGACAGTTCTTCAGTGCTTTGTAACATTACTCAAAATAAATGAGCTAATGGAGTAAAGTGTTTAGGTTTTGGAGAAAGCTATAAATGAAATTGAGTAATAACTGTTCTGTGTGCATCCCTAAATGCTATTGCTATGTTTCCATGGTAAATTAACAGGTTCAGTGATGATGCAATTTAAAATGCTCATCTTCAGCAGCATCTACGTGGGGTTGGAAACACTTCTGTCCACCCTCATTACTAACATACATTAGAATTGTGCGAGTTGTTTACAGTGGTACAAATACTGCTTTGGCAATTATAAACATAGCAATGTAGGTTCCGTACGGTTTCCACTCTCTTGTCTTCATTTCAAGTGCAGATGAAATCTCACAGCAATACCGATTCTTGAACAGAAAGTCCATCCTGGTTTCTGTAGTGATACACTGGGCCTGAGGGCCCTGAATACTGATACCCAGAGGAACTGGCATCTTCTAAAGCTGGGGGAGTTCTATACCGCACTGGACTATCCACAGAAACTGTGGGGAGGCTATGGTCCTGAAAGGATACATGTTGAAGGGCAGAATATTTTGTTAAATTGCTTAAGTGGCTACGGTTCGCATCACGACCCCAAGACTGTTCAGCTCTGTATGTGTAACCGGCTTCCGACCACTTCCTGTTATCTGGCAAATAATCCACTGGAGGAATGATGAACTTGCCATTCTTTGGTGACCCTGAATTGCCTGAATATCCTCCAGCACCAATATCAATGGGAAGAACTTCTATTCGGTTAGACGGCAGGACAAGAGGAACTGGGCGGCTGTGAGGTTTCTCCGGAGAAACATCGATGGCAGGAGTGGAACCATACGGCCTCCTGGAAGGATTCACCGGAGCCCGGTGGCTAGCCTGTGGAGACACGAAGCTGCTGCCAGCAGTGGGGGTGTGCTTTGGAGAATTTCCATGGTAAATAGGGGGATTGCTGTAAGATGGGGGATGCACTGTCCCACGATCTTCCCCATCGAACTGAGCTGGATATTTTGCATAACTTGGAGGCAGTACTTTAAAAGTAAACTTGTTTGATACTTTTGAGGGGCTAGAACTTGGCTCAGCTTTCTTTCTTGGACTGTGAGCGTAAACAACATTCCTTGGGCTATGAGAGTAAGCCCTTTCTAGTGCCTCTTCAACAGACGTGCCGTTTTCATTTTCAGGCACATTATCATACTGCGATGCATTCGAGCCCCGCTTGCCTTCTTCAACATCCCAGACCTTCGCCCTCTGCCTCGCGCTCGACACCCGCGGATCTGCAGAACTTGGGATGGTGACTGTAAGCGTGGGGTGCGCGAATCGACTTTGGCCTTCAGTGGCATATTTGGCAGTTTTTTCAATAGCTGACACATCTGATGGTTTATTCCATTTGGGCATAAATTCCTTCCTGATATTTGAAATAGCATTGCTATTTTGGTTAGCAGCTGCATGATCATACTGCCTGGCATTATCCTGTGGACCTGATACAAGTTTTCTTTGAAAATCTGCCTCATCTTTAAGCTTTTTACTATCCTCATCCACTGATTTCCGCCTTGGCTGCCTCACTCTTTCTGGGGTACCGAGTCTGCTCTGATGGTGAGGGGAATGCTCTGGTTTTCTGTGAGGCGACGAGTCACTCTCTCTTCTGTTCTTATGGGGACTTGACCTGCCAACACTCTGTCCATTGCTCAGATGACTAATGGCAGCAGACTGAGATTCAGGTGGAAGCTGTCCCAAAGGTTTCTTCGGAAATTCATCATCTTTACCTAAAACAAAAGATAAATTCATAAGTAATATAAACACATGAGTAAATAGTATCAAATATAAAAACTACACTATGAATAGTTGCATACTTTTCATATGTGCATACACACACACACACACGCACACACACAAAATTATAGTGGCTTAAGAGAAGCATTTTTTTTAGAGATACTGACAGTAAAACATAACAAAATTCAAAATCTTATTAGGCAATGCGTAGGTCGCAATATTTTATAACCTCATGAATAAGGTTCACACAACTGTGTAATATGTGATTCAAGATACACTGTGCCATGTTTTTTCAAGAATACAAGGTTGACAGTCTCATTCCTATTCCTGCAGGTCAGGTGCTCAGTGTCCTGCCATCAACTCCACTTTAGCTTAGATTAAAATGGTTTTGAAATCTCAGTAAAACTTTTCTTATCAACTTCAAGCAGCTCTGCCAAATTTAAAAGTCAACTGATGACTAACTGTGATCGAAAGTTGTCCCCAAGTAACTTATTATCATAATTATTAAGGACCTTTTACAGTATAACTGCACAATAAAAAGAAATAGTACTCTTTATTTTAAAGCTAATATTCTAAGAAGATCCCACTTTAAAGAAAAAAAAAGAAAGAGGAAATCACATTGGATACGTTAGCTCTATATTTTGTTTTTTATGCAATATTCTTTTTTATTTCTTTATTGATTTTAGAGAGAGGAAGGGAGAGACAGAAACATCAATGAGAGAGAAGATCGATTGGCCGCCTCCTGCATGCCCCCCACTAGGGATTGGGCCCACAGTCTGGGCATGTACCCTGACCAGGAATCGAACCGGCGACCTCTTGGTATATGGGTTGACACTCAACCACTGAGCCACACTGGCTAGGCTTCTTCTTCAACCACAGTCTTCCGTGTTGTTGTTGATGAGGCCAGAAATTCTCTCTCAACTTGAGCTTCAGGTCGCACTTTATGCAGGAACTTCTCCAGGTCACCTGCAGCTTCAGGAGGCATCCTGGTAGCCTTTGCCTGGAGTCTATCAAGCTTCCTTGTAAATTCTTTCCTGCCACTATCTAAGGAGTTTTAATTCTTCATCAGTTCTGTGCTTATCCCAGTCTCACTATGGCCTCTTCATAAGCCCTTGGTTATACGACTTCTCTTCACCTAGTCTTCAGTTGGTCATTCAGGATGACCTTCCTATATTTTAGTTTTAATTCCAGTTTGGTCTCAGGAAGAGATGAATGTAGCTTCTACCTACTCTGCCGCCATCTTGGATCGAGAGCTTTATGTTTCAAATGGCAAACATCAGAAAATAAATGAGGAATTAAAGAGAGGTGAAACTAGTTCACCATTTAGCAAACAGTGTTTAAAGATAATCTATTACAACATGAATATCCAGTAAGTATCATCTTGAAAAAAAAAACACACAACAGATTTTACTTGTAAAAATTCCATGATTTAAGATATGTTTTTCACATTATGTTGTCAGTTATGACAACATAACATATTCTCACTTAAAAATAAGTAGCTGCTCACTTCAAACATCTACCCGTCATCCATTCATCCAGCAAATATTTATTGAGAAAACTCTGCTTCAGGACTGTGCTAAGCTACATTAGCAGTGAATAGGCATATCTGGTCTTTGTTTTCATGGATCTCATTTGTTGATGAAGACATTTTGTTATTTACCCACATATCATAATTTTCTTGAAGACATTTGAAAAAATACTCATTGAGCTTTTCTTTGGGAGGGGAGGGAGCAGAGCATGATGAAGAAACAATATCCTTCAAACGGTTAAGCTACCAGAATCCGTTCAGCTAAAAATAACCTTTGTGCTCTTCTAATTCAGTGGTTTTCAAACTTTTTAGAAGCAGACTTTTTTTCAAACCTAATTTCATATGACCCCTCAATAGATAAAGAAAATATATGCACAGCTGCTCTAGTTAGAGTGGAGGAGCTCAGGGTTCCTCCCATCATCCCCTTGCCCACTTCCCTCAGCTGGGCAGCTTCTCAGAGCCCTAGGGCTCCGGGGCCTTCCAGTCCTGCCTGCATTTCATGGACAGGGAAGCAGAGTCTCAGAGAAGCCAAGTGATCTTTAGTGGCAGAAATGGAATGAGAACTAAGACCCAGTATTTTCCCTCCTGGTCACTGTTTTCTTCCATACGCCACGTTCATTAAACTCCAGAGAAACTTTGATGGTTTTAACCAAATTTAACTTTACTTTGACAATATTTGTGCAAGCTCTTGATTTTATGCATTTGAAAGCACACAAAGCATTGGAACTGTGAACAGTTGGTTTCACTCATTTAACCAATACATGCCTACGGAGCAACTACTACGTAGCAGCACCGCTCTCGGTGCTGGGGCACGGCGAACAGCTTGGGTGGAGCCCCTGTCTGGCGGAGGGAGCAGAGAATGATCAGAGTCTGCGCTAGTGGTGAGAGCTGCGAAGACAGCACCAGGACAAGGTGATTACAGTGACTTGGGGTGGGGCAGGACAGAGAAGGGAAGACAGGTAGAGAATAGCTCGGGTTGAGATCAAAGAAACAGAAGTCATGTCGCACAGGGCCTTGAAGACCACAGTAAGAATACTGGATTTTGTGTGTGTGTGTGAGTTAACTACAAAATACTGAAGGCTTTTTAGCAGGAGAGTAACCTGATCTGATGTCTGTTTTATAAAGTTCACTTTGAATGGTGGGTTGGACATAGATTGTGTAATAATTCATGAAGATAATAATAATAGTACTAGCTAATACCCATTAAACTTTTATATGCCAACACTGCTCAAAAGCTATATATGTACACAAGGATGCCCACTTTCACTACTCTTATTTAACACAGTACTGGAAGTCTTAGCCACAGCAATCAGACAGGAAGAAAAAATAAAAGGGATCCAAATTGGAAACAAGAAAGTGAAACTGTCATTATTCGCAGATGACATGATACTATACATAGAAAACCCCAAAGACTCCATCAAAAATTTACTAGACTTAATAAATGAATTTGGCAAAGTAGCAGGATACAAAATTAACGTCAAGAAATCGATGGCATTCTTATACACCAATGATGAACTCACAGAAAGAGAAACTAAAAAACAATCCCATTTACTATTGTGGCCAAAAAATTAAGACACCTAGGAATAAACTCAACCAAAGAAGTAAAGGATCTATTTGCAGAAAACTACAGGTCATTGAAAAAAGAAATAGAGGAAGATATAAAAAAGTGAAAGCACATACCTTGTTCATGGATTGGAAGAATTAACACCATTAAAGTGTCCATACTACCAAAAGCAATCTATAGATTCAATGCAATCCCCATCAAAATACCAACAACATACTTCACAGAACTAGAACAAATACTTCAAAAGTTCATATGGAACCAAACAAGACCCTGAATAGCCACAGCAATCTTGTAAAAGAAGGACAAAGTTGGAGGGATCACATTACCAGATTTCAGGTTATACTACAAAGCCACTGTAATCAAAACAGCCTGGTACTGGCACAAGAACAGGCATATAGACCAGTGGAACAAAACAGAGAACAGAAATGGACCCAAGTCAATATGCTCAATTAATATTTGAGAAAGGTGGCAAGAGCATATAATGGAGTAAAGACAGCCTCTTTAATAAATGGTGTTGGGAAAATTGGGCAGGTACATGTAAAAAAATGAAACTGGACCATCAACTTACACCCTACACAAGAATAAACTCAAAATGGATAAAAAACTTAAATGTGACTCATGAATCCATGAAAATCCTAGAAGAAAATGTAGGCAACAAAATTTTAGATATCATACGCAGCAGAATTTTCACTGATTCATCACCTAAGGCAACAGAAACAAAGGAGAAAATGAACACATGGGACTACATCAAACTCAAAAGCTTCTGCACAGCAAAAGATACAATCATCAAAATGGAAATGCAACCCTTTCCGGTATGGGAGAACATAAATGCCAATGATATATCAGATAAAGGGTTCATCTCCAAAATATATAGAGTGCTCATACAACTCAACAAAAGACAAAGAACCCAATTAAAAAATGGGCAGAGGAACTAAACAGACACCTCTCCAAAGAGGACATACAGATGGCTAAGAGACATACGAAGAAATGCTCAACATCACTAATCATCAGAGAGATGCAAATTAAAACAACAATGAGGTATCACCTCACACCTGTCAGAATGGCCGCCATCAACAAATCAAACAACAATGTTGGCGAGTGTGTGGAGAAAAGAGGACTCTAGTACACTGCTGGTGGGAATGTAGACTGGTGCAGCCACTATGGAAAACAATATGGTGTTACCTCAAAAAATTAAAAATTCAACTGCCATTTGACCCAGTGATCTCATTTCTAGGAATATACCCCAAGAAGCCTGAAATACCAATCAGAAAGAATATATGTACCCCCATGTTCATAGCAGCACTATTTATAATAGCTAAGATCTGGAAAAAGCCCAAATGTCCATCAGTAGACGAATGGATAAAAAAGCTGTGGTACATATACACAATGGAGTACTATGCAGCTGTAAGAAAGAAAGATCTCTTATCCTTTGAGACGACATGGAGGGACCTGGAAAGTATCATCCTAAGCGAAACAAGTCAAACAGAGAAAGACAAGTATCATATGATCTCACTTATTTGTGGAATAAAATGAACATAACAGTCTGAGGAACGGGGTAGTCCCAGAGACGTGGTAGTAGGGTACAGACTGACAATCCCCAGCAGAGGGGGTGGTGGGGAAGAGATGAACCACAGAACTTATATGCATGTATGCATGAACAATGGACATGGACAACAAAGCTGGGGACAGGGCAGGGAGGGTGGGGGAGGGAGGAATTAGTGGGGGCAAAAGGAGAAACATCTGTAACAAAAATCAATTAATTTAAATAAATAAATAAATAAAATAAAAGGACAAAGGCAAGCTCGCCAAAAAAAAAAAAAATAAAAGCTATATATAGTGTCTGCAATTGGCATATAGCGTAGCTCACCACCTTTATTTTCATTTTGTAGATGAGAGAACCG